CATAACATGCAACAACCGGCCCCCAGCGGCAGTCTCCCCATCATCATCATAATCCTGAACAACAGCCTCACCCTCCGCATCCCCATCCTTCTTCTGCCGAATGCGCCAAGCACTAATATTATGCGTCGCGGCCGCAACCTTCCGATCCGTAGCCGTAAGATGATCAATAAAGGCCTGCGCCTGCGCAAGACAAGTAACACGGGCAACACGGCCCACGAAAACCGATTTTTTCTCGGAGACCACGTCTGAGAGGATCCATTCGGGCGGGGCATCGAGGCCGAATGCGTCGCGCAGGGAAAGAGCTTCAAAGGCGTCTGTGGCGGTTGACGCGTCGACAGTTGGTGTCTGAGTAGACGAACCCCCGACATCGTCTTGCCCGATACTCAATTCCGGGAATATATCGACGGCTTCGCTGATTACATCGAATAGACACACGGCGCCGGCCTGCCAGGTCCGTTGTACGATATCCTCCAATACATCGATGGCGATCTTGCCTTCCCCGCGCGCGGCGGTTGATGCTGTTCCCAATACGGCGGGTCGGGAGTCTGGGTATGAGGCCTCGAAGCCGAGAATGAAGGATAGATGTTGTTGTTCTGGGATTTGGAGGGTGACCACTGTGGTATGGATGTTGCTATTGAAGTGTGCGGGACTTCCTAGGTCGAGTGTGTTTTTGGTTGTCGCGTTTCCGGGGGTCGTGCGAGTTACGGTTATTGTGTCGGGCTCGTATATGGCATTTACGGCTTCAATTTCTTCGGCGAGGTCTTGGTTCTCGGGGATTAGAGGCATTGTGCCGGTTGGAGAACTCAATGCTCGTGCGGGGTGAGCGTTTGATTATTTGTGAGCAAAGGTTGACCCCACAGTTTGTTCAGGCATCCAGGCACCCAGGCACATGATTATTTTAATGTGGTGAGTACCGTCCCATTCACACAGGAAGTACCTGGGTAGACCTCTTAAGCTTGCATGTATTAATTAACTCACTGGACTAATTGATTTTCACGAAGCTTTACTTTTTTACAAGGGGTATTTATTTTTGTTAGTGAATTATACAGTAAGTGGAAGTACCAATAGTACTACCTAGGTACTACAATTGGTAACTATAGACCCAATCGTTATATATCTCTTCAGTAATCCTCCCAGGTGCGAATTCGTGGTCAAGTTCAACTTGGTTTTGGAGCGATTTTATATGAAATCTGGCATCATAATGCTAATATTAGTATAATATCCACTGAATATAACTATAGGTTGGTACATGTGGGCGTATTGAACAGTCGGGTTGAGATCTGGAGGGGCTTCTAGATTTCCAGATCAGAAGATCTTATTGGGAAAGGTCATTTTTCATGTCTTATGTCGCCTTAATCTTCTAGCCGGGATGGCCAAAATGATTGACTTTCCCGAGACATTTGGAATTTAATTTATCCAAGAAACATAATCTGGCTGTATTGGGAGTATGCCCAGGTGGGAAATTTATAGGTACATTGGGGTAGCATGTGTTCCCATGGATGCTGATGTGGTGGTGCCTGTAGATTGGACGGGCTCCTCGTCATTTTGGCAACGGCAACATTAGAATGACGACAATGAGGTCAACACTGCGATCAAGACATAATAGTCATCTGCGCAATTGTCTCGTTTCGGATGAAAGTAGAGTCTTCAATTTCTCGGAAAGCCCTGAGGAACGCCACCAATCATTGTCTTTTCGGTGGTCATTCAGTGTCAGGACTGGCCTTATTGTCACACAGCGTAGGACAAACACCACACGGATGGAACCGACGATATAGTTTGAAAAGCTCAGATCACATCCGAAGATTTTCCCTGCATTGGTGCGGTCTTTGTGATATTTCCCGAATGTGATATTTCCCGAATCGAAGATCAATCCAAAGATAGATTGTCGACAGAGAGATCGTGTTGCCACCCCGTGGACCGTCACGCGTCGTTCTGATTGGGTGCCTGGCTGCCTTGGCTGCCTGACGGATCCGCCTTCACTGTCTCTTCCCCAGATCTCATTTCGTACCTCGTCCCTCTTTCTTCCCATACCTTTGCCTTTTTCTTGTATTTATATCTCTGTCTCTTCATGATTTAGGCCTAGCACGGTTAAATCCCTCTCTCTCTGTTCGTTCCAGGGTCGCGTTCCTGGTGATCTTCCGCCTTGCATACCAATCAACGAAGATCCCCACGGCCCATCACAACGCTAGCGCCCATCAGCCACCGACCGCGGTCATACCTTATACCGCATCGTTCGTTACATTCATTTTTGTCCTTCCAACTACACCTCCAACTACACCACACTCTCCCTCCAAGCCAACGCTTCGCCATGTTTGGAGAGGGCCGAGAGGAGGCTGCCAGGCTATATGTTCCCCCACTGCTTGACGATAACGATCGTCTCAACGATCCCGACACTTCCGAAGATCTCCCGCCGCCGGACGTCGAGACTGGCAGCACTCTTCCCATCTGGCTGCGGGAGTCATCCAAGTCATTTCGCTGGGGATGGGTGCCGCTACCTCTCCGAAAGGTCGGTCGCGCCACCGCCAATTGGGTTAAGGGTCCCGATCCACCGCATATGCTTCTATTGAAACCGCTGTTTCCGCGAGTCCAAGAGCTTCCAGTCCAATACCTCGACCGTCTCTTTCCCAAGCGCAAATTTAAGACTGCACTCTTATTGCTGCTCTATATATCTTGGTTCTTGCCTTGGTTTTTGATTTTATTACACTCGCGTTCTTCCGGCTATATCGAAGGGTACGGTCGGCCTCAGACGTTGTCATGCTCGACGAACTTCTGGTACGTGCCGAAATGCAACCCCATATAGTGATATAAAATTAACATGCGATTGATTTAGGGAGGTCGGAAATGGGTGTGGTATTAACGGGAACGACTGCCGTCCATTTTCTTCTTCGACTATTCCCTTCCGATGTCCTGCGAATTGCCGTGATACCAAATTGCTGGAGCCTTACATTGTGGGGAATAATACATACAACTACCAAGGCCTAGTTATTGGAGGGCCTAAGCTGGATTCCTCGGATGTGGCATTTTACCGTGCGGATAGCTTTATTTGTCAGGCCGCAATCCATGTCGGTGCTATCTCGAACGATGGCGGCTGCGGTGTTGTCAAGCTTGAAGGTGCAGCGCACTCTTTCCCATCAGTCAAGCAACACGGCATTCTGTCCGCCGGGTTCCCGTCGACCTTCCCGAAGGCTTTCAGCTTTCTCCAGCTATCCTCGCCGCAAGCTAGCTGCCCGGCAGATCCACGCTGGACGCTTCTTGGAATCACCGCCGCTGCCGTTGGCGTCCTGTGGCTCTTCTGTACATCGCCGCCCGTGCTGTTTTTCAGTACATTTTTCATGGTATTCTGCCATACTGGACTTGTTGGAGACCCACCCTCGTATCCCTTCTTGGCCGACCTTGTCTCCAGTCTTCTATCACGGCTGCTGCCAGCGTCGTTTGTCGTCTATGTCCTTTACAAGTTCTGCGCAGCGCCGCTTTTGCAGCCAATCTCTTCGCCTATCTACCAGCTTTCAAAGTTGTTCCTTTTCCTACCCCCACTTTTCATTGGAGCTCTGAACAACTACACTTTTGCACGGTTGATTCCATTGCAGCGTCTTACCCCGATGGATATTCAGAAACAACCCGGGGCAAAGTTGGCATTGGCTCTTGTCATCCCAATCGTGATTTCGATTATCCTAAGTCAGGCGTGGCAAATTCGCCAGGGAGGTCTACTTCCACGATATTTGAAGATATACTGTACCATGGGGCTCATCATCTTGATCTTGCTTCCTCTCCCTGGACTTCGCCTTCGAATTCATCATTACATCCTCGCCATTCTCCTTATTCCGGGAACAGCCTTTCCCACTCGGCCCTCGCTCATCTACCAGGGTCTGCTGCTGGGTCTTTTTATCAACGGAGTTGCGCGGTGGGGCTTCGCCTCGATCATTGAGACCCCGGCAGCTTTAGGAGAGCAAGCGCCGCTCGGAGATGGAATCCATGGCTGGTGGGGTGCTACTTATCCCAATATAACGACAGCATCCGTGAATATCTCCCTGCCAGAGGTAGGATCGAACATCACATGGCGCGGCAATGGCAACATCACATTTGCTCTGTGGGAACACGAGCGTATGGCAGATCTAGCGGTGGACGGCGTCTCGGTTCTTCTCAACGACGTAGAGCGCTGGCGTGGTTATCTTGATGAAGACAAGCGCGGGGAATTTACCTGGCACCGCCATGGTCATGATGGCCTGGAGCTACAGACAAATCCTCGTCTAGTCAGTCGTGACTTGGACACCAACATTGACCCCAAATCGGTTCTTTTGGCTGATAGTGATTCTGACGATAAACCCGAAGACCTCTTCTTCCGATTCGCATTTTTGAGAGGTTCCGAGGCTGGCGTTTATAGCCCGACAGGAGTCTGGTTAAGCGATGGCGCGTGGTGGCCCCCTGCACCTCCCAAGAAATAGATCCGCTTTCGCTTTCCCTCTTCATTGGAAACTGAAGTTGCTTTCGTGTTTATATTCTACCGCACCTTGCAAGTTAGATTGATTGTACACTTTTGGTTCATGTGTGCTGGACGCGCTGTGCCCATTGGAGTAATAGAACAGGCACGGCGTTCGCTGGATTACTCTCGTTCATGACTGGTCACGTTAAATGAAGATATCAAATATTATGATTGCCTATGTCTGGTACTGGTCTATATTAGCCATCTAGATTCAATATATCTATCTCTGCTGTCGTCAGAAAATGCATACCACGTGATCGTGACGGCACGAGCCAAGGCAACAACCAAACCCGAGCTCACAATTTGAAACTTCATCCCTACCTATTTTTACCAATTCCTGTGTTACATATTGGAATCCATGGAGCACGGGGGATCTGATAATGAGAGACGCGAGGTGCCAAGCGCGCTGGTCCGACGTGCAGTAGGTGTTGTTCCACAATCAAAAAAGTAGCAACTTTAGAAAAGGCACCCTTTGGAAGAATCCTTCGACGATACAGCTTTGGCTAACCAAATATTACTCATGGATGCATACAGTGTGATCAATGCCGCCTCCGAAAGGTATGCAGGTGCAACTTGGAGTAGCACGATGTCATGACTCGATTCTCACATCGTCACAGATTCGATGCGATAAGCGCACCCCATGTTCAAACTGCCGAAGTTCCGGCATCGTCTGCCGATCTACCGGCGAAGGCCAGAAGCCATCAGAGCCCCGGCGGCGGGTTTTAATCTCAAATCAATAGTATGAGCATCTTCCCCTCTTATGACATAGGACACCATTGACTTGAGCACAGCGAGAAAAAGATCGATTTGATCGAGGAACGCCTGGCAAGCATTGAAAGTACTCTTCAACAGCTAGCAAAAAACACATTTCAGCCACAAGGCCTCACAGCACCAAACTGGAGCGGGTCTCATTTCGCCCCTTCGCCTCAGAAGTCAACCCCTTCGCAGCCGCCATCTACTACACCGAACTCTGCAAAGACTAAGGGCCCTTTGTATCTAGCCAATCGTACCCTCGAGGAGCACGATTCCAGCGCTGGATTCGAGGGCAGCTCATCTCTTACTGCCCATGGGGCCTACGCGAGCGCGTTCCTTGAGTCTGCTGTGTCCCAAAGCTCGCCGCAGGTTTTGTCGAGTCCGAAGATCACCGCGGCTCTCTCGTCGCTAAAGCAACTTGTCGGGATCCAGAACCAGCGGCGAGAAGCGGATTTGCAGGGGAATCAACCTCTCACCAATAATGCAAGGTTGGGCGTGAGACGCGACATTCGTGATCTGGAGATGCCGCCTCTGCCAGTGGCTCTGGAAATTTTGCGAAAGATTCAAGGTACGGTTCATTCCAATCAGACGTTTACAGTTGTGCTTACTTACCTAGAAAAACCATCGGCCATGTTTGGTGGCTACGTCCCCTTCCTCAGTGTGAAATATTTCACTGAAAAATGCCGCGAAGTTTACTTCTGCATAGACGATTACTCCGATGCGGCATTTATTGTAACTAACTTTTCTCTGTACAGCGTTTTCCACGAATATGGGGACATGGGGAAAGACGTCAGTATGCGAGAAGAGCGCCAGCACTACATTGAGATGTGTCGCAACAACCTGGAGACAGCACTTGCCAATTTGAATATTCTGATGCCTGCAAACCATGAATCGATCATCGCGTTATCTCTAGGAGTGAGTCCCCCATTTTCTTTTTGTATTTTGTTCAGGCATTCCCCATCCGGAATCCTTATTTCCTTACTTACAAGCACAGACTATGCATGCACTCGAGATTTCCAAACCATCCGTTGCCTGGACGCTAGCATCAACGGCGATGAATCTCTGCCAGACACTGGGATATCATCGCTTTACTTCAATGGAGCACGACCCCGTACCAGTCCAACGCCAAAAGCAGAATCTATTCTGGACTATCTACACAATTTTGAATATGATGTCCCTGCGTCTAGGACGTGCTTCATCCGTCCAGAACCACGATATCAGCCTACCGATGCTAGAGGAAAACCCAGCAGATATCCGTCAGCCATGGGGACCCGTCTGCTTTTGGTGGACTAGATCGGCAATTATCCAAAGTGAAATTTACCAATATTTGTATAGCCCAGAGGCCCTGCAGAAACCGGAAAGTGAACGAGTCACACATGCGCACAGATTGGCCGCTGAGATGCAGTCGAAGGTTATGGAGCCATTTGAGGTGCCACCCCCACCATTATTTGGGACAGGATTGGGTGAAGGAGTTGCTAACGTGAAACATGTAGAAATTCATGTCGTTGGATCTTAAAGTATCCGATATAGACCTCATGTATCTCACAACCGACAAGATTAGTCGGCTGGCCATCATGACCTTGATCTACCGAGCAATCCCAGCATCAACAGACTCAGGTCGTGGCGCTACCTTCATACCCGAATGCATTGAGACAGCACGGGAAGCCCTGGAAACCCACCGCGAGTGCGTTGCAGCACTCAACGAGACAGAAGATTCCCTGAAAATATCCTACATGCACTGGTAAGAATGCCGAAAGGGTCCCGCCATTATTGATGCAATGACCATACCACCTCAGACCAAGATATTCTGACAAAAGAACTATAGGGGCGTCCTCATATCCCCCTTCGTCCCCTTCATTGTAATATTCTGCAACGTAATAACAACCTCCAACGGTGACGATCTCGCCCTACTCGAAGAGTTCATCGCCTCCCTCCAACCGCTAACCACCTTCTCTCAATCTATCGAACGATTACACACCCTTTGCTCAGTGCTCGGCACTGTCGCCCGCCTTTACTTCGAAGCCAACACCCGGACCCAAGCAGCCGCAGACCAAGAAAATCTCATCGAGGTTGGTCAGGAATTCGATGTTTATCTCAGTGCGCTCGGACTGGCGCCTCCAACTCATATGAATCCTCTGAACAGCGATAATTCCCAGATGGTAAACTCGCAGGGATATTCCCAGGCAGAGAACCCTGCTATGCATATTAGTTCAGCGGAATTGTCGCAGCATGTGGGTGGTTTCTCGGCGCCGGTTGATTCAACTCAAGCGACGGGACAGGATTTGGGGACTGCTGCGCAATTGGGGAATTGGTTCTGGGGGAATCAGTACATGATGGGGCTTTTGGAGGAGGATCTGTCGCAGTTCAATCCGGGAAGGCCGTGAAGAGACAGACTAATGGGTGTGGTCATTAGACTAGATCATGCTGACTATTAGTCTTAATTCTTCCCAAAATAGCCAGCTGCTATAAATGTAACATGAATCTCAACTTCTACACCTCGTTGATGTCTAATCTACATATCACCCTTTCGGTCCAGCAAAACCTTACATCTATCTGCACTCATAACTACGACTGTCAAAGCTTGCTTCTCCTCGCCAGGTGGGACACTAGGTGTTTCAGTAAAATTGAAAATAACGATGCTCATAATCACCCGTTAAATCTTTGCGCGCAGCGCACTTCCAAGCTCAGTCAGCTCTCGCACCACCAGGTGGTCCAAGTCCTGTGTGTTGAGCAACCCTCTGTGCGCCTGCGACAGATCCGTGATGCCGACCAACTTCATCGCCACTTGCAGTTCTGACGCCAAGACTATCACAAAAGAATTAGCTTTATCCATTTCCCAACAGCTGTTGGATAAAAGGAAAGGAAGACGTACTGTCAACCAGTTGCTCCACGCCCTCTTGCCCGTAGTTGAGCGCGTACATCACCGGCCTACCAATCAGCACCCCCCGTGCTCCTAGACAGATCGCTTTGAGGATGTCTGTTCCCCGGCGGATACCGCCATCTACCAGAACCTCGGTTTCCCGCAGGACATTAGGACAGTGCCGACCCAGTTCGAGGAGGGTCAGAAGGGCAGGAGGAGCAGTGTCTAGGTTCCGCCCTCCGTGGTTGCTGAGGTTAGTTAGTTTCACATCTTACGATAGATAGACTGCCGCGGGGGGGAGGTGGTGTTCACCTCAATACAATCCCATCGATCCTCGCCTCCACCGCCATCAGCGCGTCTTCAACCGACTGGACTCCCTTGAGCACCAGTTTCCCTTTCCAATGCTCCCTCAGCCAAGCGAGATCCTCCCAGGACAGTGTCCCATCGAGGAATGACCCGGTGGTGCGAGTGATTCCTGCCCCCTTAGCGTCCTGGCTGGCCCTAGTGCCGGTCATGGGCATGGAGATGGACTGCTCGGCGCGGACGCGCTCGTCCGCCTCCCGCTTCCCGGGCACAGGAGTATCAACCGTCACGAAAAGGGCACGGACACCAAGATCCCAGACCCGTCGAAGGATGGCCTCCGATGAAGCTCGATGCTTATTGACATACAGCTGGAAGAAGAATGGGTGTTGGGAGGGAACAGAGGCGATGATTTCTTCGCCGGAAAAGGACGCGGTGATGGGAATCTAATTCACATCAGCGACTAGAAATTAAAGATCCAGATCCGTGCAATTTCAGGAATCATACGCAGTATCCAATACTTTTTTTGCACAGGCGCCTGCAATCCCCTTCTCGCCGGCGGGATTTGCTAACCGAGCGAGCGCGACGGGTGCAGTGACCACGGGTAAAGCTAGTGGGGCTCCCAGGATGGTTACTTGCGTATTGATTGTGAGAACATTTCGTAGGAGTCGGGGTCGCATCCAGATGCGTCTGTAGAAAGATTGGTTGCTATTGTGGGAGATCAGATCGGTTGCTGCGCTGGAGTAAAAAGCCCAGGCTTTTTTCGATAGGGAGTTCCGAGCTGCATCCTCGAAATCGTGAGTGCTGAGTATGGCATTCAGCTGGGGTTTGGTAGTCGTTTGGGACGGGGTCTGTGGGGCGGATTGGTTTCTCCACGTTTCGTCGATCGAGGACGGGTCGAGTTGGCCTATCAGTTGGGTCGGAGGGAGGGTGTTGATGGTGGCTGGTGTGTGAACTTCATTGTAGGCGGCGGTGGCATCACGACCGGCATAACGGAGGATAACTTGGTGTAGGGATTTGTTTTAGCGATATATAAAGTAGTTATATATATGGATAGGACATACTCTCAGCACCACCTGGGTGGTCTGGGGCAAAGCTGGAGACATCCCAGACTTGATTATCGATGACCAGCCAGCAGTCATTAGGGGAATCGTGGCGAGCGACTTCTTCAGTGGAAACCAAGCGTGGAGGCATTGGAACCGAGTGGATTGGGGTAGTAGAAAGGAATACTACCCAAGTATGTAGCCCTGGAGGTAACGTTGAATAACAAATAGGTGAGTGATCACCAAGTTCAACACATTGTGTGACCCCTATCCTATAATTGCTTTTTAATGTTGACCAGGGTAAAATGATATTCGTACATATGTATTCATTTTTATATTTATTATACATTTTTACATTTCTATAACTAATGAGGTTCATTTTACACAGTTGCCCACGCGTAGTGCCTAGGTAGCCCTTACTAGATGACAAATTACAGATTACAGATTACAGATTACATACATGTATTTGTGTAACTATTTATATGTAACTAGATATATATAACTAACTATAACTACATACATAAATTGATGAGGTGCATTCTGAGATGAATCTAAACCAATCGAATTAGTAGAAGATCTCAATATACAACGTAAATGAAATCCATTGGGCAAGGGACACACATTTATCTTTTTGATTTCAAAGAGGAACCTAACGGGTCGGGTCGATTAAAGGGGGATCGACTACCGACTACCGTTTGTGGGGGAGATGATCCATCATGAATCATCGATTTCTTTCATTTCTTTCATTTCTTTGATTCCTTTGATTCCTTTCACCTGAACAATGTGATAGGCCCACAAGTTATCCCTACGTGAAGTTGGGAGTCATTCCCCCATGACTCATTCCATATATTCCATATATTCATTCCAAGGCGAATTCCAATATTTCTCTTTCCCCATCTCCTTAACTGTTTCAATTCCTCGTGCTTGACTCCTCTTTAATTCGAACTTTATCCCCCACAAAAATGTTCGAAAGCATCAAGCTCTTGGCGTCTGAAATCGCCCCTCCACGACAAAAATTTATTGGTCGAGTCTCCTCGGACCACCATGAGAATCAGACAAGCGCGGAGGAAAGAAGCCTGCGGAGTGACAGTGGGGATGGCTCCACGGAGGAACGCAAGCCAAAGCATGCACCTTTTGTGATTTTCTGCCTTTCATGCATTACCTTCGTAAGCTGTTACTTAGGCGGCCTGGTTACCGTCTCCGTGCCTCAGATATCCGAAGACCTGCAGTTGACTCAGGGTATGGAATTATGGTATTTTGATCCTTTACAACCAGTTTTGCCATTGGGTTGATAGCTAATCAGTGTAGGCCCGTGTCCATGTATGCATTAGCCACGGGTTGCACCCTGCTCATTTTTGGTGCCGTCTCCGATGCGCTAGGTAGTCGGCTCATATTCCTGCTAGGCTGTTTCTTCCAAAGTATCTTCTGCATGGCCTGTGGCCTCGCCGAGAATGGCACGCAGCTCATCGTGTTCCGTGTCTTCTCTGGCTTGGCAACCGCCATGTGTCTTCCGTCCGCCGTGAGCATCATCTCCGAGAATTTCTCGCCGGGAAAGCTCCGCAACCTCGCCTTCTCCTTTATTGGAGGTGGCCAACCTATCGGATTTGGACTAGGCATGCTGATGGGTGGTGTCTGCGCCGACACGATCGGCTGGCGCTGGGGCTTTCATAGTGCTGCCATCGCCAACACAATCGCCTTTCTTCTGTCATGGTGGCAGCTACCGCAAAATAAACAAATCGGCATTAACTGGGTTCTCCTCTTCGCCATCGACTGGCTCGGTGCTATTGTTATCAGCGCCGGTTTAGCCCTTCTTTCTTTGGCATTAGCGTGCGTTCCCCCCACTCCCCACCTCGACTCTACTTCAGACCACCCTAACTAACTATTTCCTAAGCATCATAACATCCGACGTAAATAACGCTCGTAAACCCTCGACAATTGCCTATTTTGCTGTCTCCGGCGTTCTACTTGTGTGCTTTGTCATCTGGCAAGAATACCAGGAACGACGCGGTAAACCGACACTCATCCGTAACTCACTCTGGAGAAACAAGTCCTTCACCTCAATCTGTATTAACGTCTTCATCATCTGGGGCGCCTTCAACGGCTTCGAACAGATCATCAATTTCTTCTTCCAGAACGTGCAACAGCTCTCTGTCTTAGACGCCGCTCTCCGCTTCATTCCAACTCCCATCACAGGTCTCCTCAGCGCCCTCGTTACGGGCTTGGTACTCCATCGCATCCGCGCCGACGCCATCATAAACATCACCATTCTGATCTCATCTATATCCCCGATTATGATGGCCCTGGTCAACCCTTCCTGGGTCTACTGGCGTTGCGCCTTCATCGCCATCTGCCTTAACTCCATCGCTGCCGACTCTCTCTTCACCGTGTCAAACATCCTCATTGCCGATATGTTCCCGCCGGAGACGCAGGGTCTGGCGGGGGGTGTCTTTAACACATTTTCGCAAATTGGAAAGAGTTTCGGACTGACCTTTGTCGAGTTGATCGCCAATGTCGTCAGTGATAATAAGGCCGCCCCCGGAGAGAGATACGAGCCCGATGGGTTCATGGTCGGGTACCGGGTGTCGTTCTGGTTCTTGTTCGCGGCGAATATTATTTGTCTGGTGATTGGCGCCATCGGGTTGCGGAAGGTGGGTAATATCGGGAAGAAACGTGAGTAGTAGAGATGTGCTGGGAAATTACTTATTACAAGATTGAAGGGTTTGATAGATGGCCTGACTGTAACATTCAATGATATAATTGCGCTTTTTCTCAATGTCAATATGAATTCTTAAAAGGAACTAGGGTGCTTTGCCGCAACTATACTATTTACACCTTCACAAGAGTATATATCGCGAATTATTTTCTAGTCGACACATTTCAGCGTCAGCTGAGTAACCATACCAGCTCTTCGGAAGTTTTACACTCTGCTCTCTATAGCATACTCTGGACCGGCTGATTAGCCTGACTACCAGGCAAAATACCAGAGAAGTACCGATCTAGCATCTCAGCCGTCGCTCTCCCCTCCACCAACCTCACGATGCACCCAACATACCCATCGGGACGTACAACCACCACTCCCCCTTCCCGGGGGTCGAAGCCCAACTTCGCATGCGCTGCGCCCTGACCCCCAGCGTGGGACTTTCGGCTACGCGCATCATCCGAGTAGATGTGATACCGGTAGGGCAGGAAGAACTGCGGCAAAGCGCCGATCTCGACGGCTGCGCGCACGGCATTGAACACGATGGAAAAGGTACACAACGTCGAGTGCGGGTTATGTCTACTCTCGTACGACAAATCCGGTTCCACGGGACCGTGAAGAACGCGCGAGAATACCGATTCCTGACCGGAAAGATGTTCCGCTAGGTCTGCTAGCGCGCTCTGCTGATGCTGGTGTTGCTCACCGGCGAACACGTACACGTGGAAGCTGCCGTTGAAGGGGACCTCGCGCTCCAACGGGATCTCGCAAGCGTCAATCACGCGCGTCACGTTAATCGGTGGGAAGCTGCGGCCCGGCTGGAGGGCGTTCACTGAGGGGAGAGAGATGTCGTCGGCGGGTTCGCCGACATGGGTGAGGATGTTGGGCGGGTATTCCACGCCGTAGCCGCTGGTCAGCAGGGAATTCTGCTTGAATATGCGGACGAACTCGTCGTTGGTCTGCTGTGAGAGGTTTTGTGAGCTGAAGAGACCGGCATAGGTGGCGTCAAACTCGATCAGCCGCGAGGCGACGGCGCGGCGTTCCTCCTCGTATGTGTGTAGCAGCTCCGGGCGCATCAGGCCGGATTCTACAAGATGGAGTTTCCAAGCTAGATTGTGGGAGTCCAACAGGCCGTAGTTCATTCCCTGACCGGCTTTGGGCTGTTTCTTGTCAGCCCTAGTCCATGGCTTGGATGACCATGAAAGAGACTTACGCTGTGGGTGTGACAGGCGTCACCGCCGATGAAGATACGGTTGTCCAGCGAGTATCGCTGAGAGATGCCCTGGCCGATGTGGTAGGTTGAGTGCCAATCGACGTACTCCCATTCGACATGGTATGGGCTTAGAATCTCGTTGGCCATGCGCTGGATTTTGGCCTGTGAGGCAGCTGCGGACAACTCCTTGCCTTCTTCGGGCGAGATCTGGACGTATATGCGGACGCGGTTGTTGCCTTGGGGGATGATCATGCAAGAGCCGCGCGGCGAACGGATGGTACATTTCATCTACGGTTGTTAGTTTGGTTGGTACTAAAAGGAAGACAATGAATGAAGAGAAAGCGAACCTGCATATCCGGAAAATCCGACTTCACCACCCCGTCAATCACACTCCACACATGCACAGTCGGATCCTTATAGATCATAGGAATCTTCAATAAGTTACGCACGGCACTGCGAGCTCCGTCTGCGCCAAACAGGTACTTAGCCCTGACCGTCTCCTTGGCCGAGCCATCGATGCTTACAAGGTCCACATCGACGGGGTACTCAGACCCGGGTCCACGATATCTCGCGTCGCGGATCGTCCACGGCCGCTGTATCTCGACCCCGCGTGACCGTAGATCCTCAAGGAAGACGCCTTCAATGCGGCCCTGGTGAAGGATAGTGGTGAATGGGTAGCGGGTGTCGATGTGGTCCGGGTAGCTCTTGTTGGTACCGGTCCGCTGGATGCTTTTCCTATCTTCGGTCGCGCCCCAGAAGGCAACCTCGTAGATGAGGCCCGGGTTGTATGCCCATATGGGTCTCTTTAAGCCCATTGTATTCAGGACATCCAGAGTTCGGGCCTGGATGCCGTCCGCGCGGCCGATAGTTGTTGGCTCGGCGCGGTTGTCGATGTGTTTGATCTTGTAGGGACCCAGGCGGGTCAGACAGAGGGATAGCATCAGTCCTACGGGACCGGCACCGACTATTACGACGTCGTATTCCTCAGGCATTTTGCCTTTATTTGACCGGCCACTGGGAGGTACAGAGAACACAGAGAACACAGAGAACACAGAGAACACAGAGATATAGGAGAGAAAGGAGAGAAAGGAGAGGGAGGGCCGAGTGTAGATCGCTTTGCTTTATTATATCTCATCAAAGGCTTAGCTTGCCGAAGGTATGCACTGTGTCTAAATCCCTATTGATTGACCTCCAGCGCTTGTGACTGAACTGACTGCACGACTCCGCCCGCTGATTGTATACTCTTGACGACACGCTATCGGATGCAACCACCACGGTGCCAACGCAAGCCAAAGAAATTGTATTCACCCTTACTGGGACGTGACCGTTTTTTCTTTCTTTCCTTTTCCATCTGAAATTTACTGGTAATCTGATCTATACTCGTCATATAGATGCGGTGTGAGTTCTGAGCCGTTCCGTGACGTGGATCACACAAGGGTCGGCTCTGTACCTTGTAGCCAAGTGGTCTCAGTCAGACTAAAGTAGTATAGTCCTTTACGATTTGGCATTGAATACGGAAATTTCACTAGTGAGCGGGGCGTACTTCTAATTTGCTTTTGCACCGTTTCTGATCTCAGCCTTCGCCAAGATAGGGTTGCACAGCACGTATACCTGGGTATGCACTGGACTTGCATGCATATGTGGTGTCACTGCAGAGTAGACATCGAGTAATCCCTAGTTGTACGGCTGAGCATGCAACCTGCGTAGGAGCAATGGTACACGCAAGACGGAATGGTCTGACTAACTGACAATGTACCTCACTATCATCTGCTCCCGTTCCACCCCATCTCAATTCCCACTAAGACATCCGTTCAATACGCCCCAAGAACGAAAGGAAAGCGCTCAGAATAAGGAAAAATGGGCAGCATTTCTCCCTACAACCTTGACCCCGCGCAGTACACGTTTCCCTCGCCGCTGAAGGGCTGGGAGAACCACGCGCCTCTGTCCGAGTATGGCACATTTCCGACGCTATATACAGTCTGTAATGTTAACAAAATCATAGATCCAAGGCACAAGACGGAAAGAGCTACGACAGTCCGGAGAAAAGTGTCCTCAGCGATGCTTACGAGGAATTCGTGGCGCCGGTTTCGAATGGCGGTCGTCTCGACTCCCAGCTACCCGGGTTCGACGTGCACGTATACTTCAATCCTGTAATTCCCTCGCCATGTGCCAGATCCCCATACATTTACTGAGAAGACGGCAGCACGACGAGTCCCAAGTAAACTATGCAAAGGACTTGTGGACGCGGATCCGATTGGAATGTACGTTCCTCCCCAATCCCATCCCCTTATTGTAACATCAGCATATACTGATGGGCGAAAAATAGTTCCAGAGCTGAGAATATACCCCTTGCACACAAGCCCGCAAGGTCCACATGCCCCGGGAATGTTCGAAGTGGCGCTCTTCACGCCCCACCAGTTCGGGGCCTTCGTCAGCTGGCTGGTCGTGCACCGTGGACCGTTGAGCGCCCTCGTCCACCCCAACACGGACGACGAGCTGCGCGACCATTTGCATATGACTGCATGGCTGGGTCCTGAGGTGCCTTTGGATATGGGACGGTTTAGGTTGAGGCCAGTGTGTGAAACGATGGATAAACGGGCTAGGACGGTGACGAGGATTGTGGACACCGGGGTTGAGGGGAGGACCGTGAAAGAGGTCAAGGGGATTGAGTAGTTTGATTTTCTTGTTCTTGGTGGACAGTCCTTGCTATATGAGCTGCTCGAGAAAATCGTGATCGATGCTAGGATAATGCATACAATTGGTATTTGAATCGAATGGATATACGACTTTTTTCATGATTGCCTATCCAAACTGTTGATGTTGGTCTCTTTGATTGGTTCTTAATGTCTATGTTTCCAAGGGGGTGAACCTGTATGCTGAGAATCTCAATCCCATTCACAACTCATGTTATAACATCTATACCCATAATCTAGTGCCAATCAATAGACTGATTAGTCCTTTACAACCGCGACTCTAATATTCCACCCGCTGTTTCTAACTTGAAAATTCCCCGCAGTGTCATCCCCAGACGCCGAATCGCCTCCTTCACATCCTCCGCCGAAGCAGCCGCATAGGTCATGCGGAAAAACACTCCTTCCATACCTCCCCTCCCCTCATCTGGCAAAAACCAGCTACCAGGCACAACCAGTGCTCCACACTCTATCGCAGAATTGTAGACCTCCTTCTCGATCTCCAGCGTAGATTTACTACCCGCCTGGGGATGTTGTGTCCAGTCGACGGAGATCCAAGCCTATTATCTATTAGCACAGCATTGCCAACTAAGCTCCGCTCCAAGCAGAGCCATGGCCCAGAAAAGTCAAATAAAGAGAATGGAAGGACATACGAAAAACCCACTGGTAGGCGGCACCCAGCTAACAATCTCACGCGGCAAGAAAGCATCACAGGCTTCAAATAACCCGTCCCGCCGCTTTGTATACTCGCCCTGCAGATGTGCGAGCCATTTGACAAACCCTACATGCCCCCAGCTATCATGCAGCAGCTTGAACAAGGCGATCTGCGAAAACCCACTCGGATTCTGCACAGAGACCTCGTGCGCGCGGACCATCCGCTCGATGACCTGCTCCGACGCCGTCACCCAGCCCATGCGCGCACCTGGCGCGATGATCTTCGAAAAGGAGTCCATACGCAGGACGCGACCGTCTGTGTCCAGGCGGAGATAGCTGGGAACCAGGGTCTCCGCGTATTTCTCTACCGAGGTAATAGGAGCGGTGGTGATTGTGGCGGCTCCACCGGGGTGGTAGACCGGCATCTGGATGAAGTAGTATGGGTCGTCTTCGACTATAAAAAGGTCGTGCTTCTGGGCGACACGGTAGATGGCCTGTCTACGTGGGAGGGGCTGCGTTACACCTGTGGGGTTCTGGCCTGTCGGGATGGTGTACAGCAGACGGGGTTTCTTGCCACCGCGAGCGGACTCATCCCAGGTTGAAAGGACGAGGTCAAGGTCATCAGGTAATAGGCCGTCTTTGTCCATGCGTACCTGGGTGAACTTGTAGCCGAGTGGAAGGCCGGTCTCGAAAACGGTCGCGTAGGTGTGCTGCTCGACGAGCAGGTGCTCACCGGTCTGGCCAAGCATGCGCAGGACGATCTCAAAGGCGGAGGTGTTGCCAGCGCTGAGGATGGTTTGCCAATTGCGGTAGGGGGGTTGTGGATGAGCTGGTTCTGTTAGTCTAGCCTGGGTAGTAGAGTTTGAGTCATAGGCGTACCTGGATATGTTCCGTCAGGAACTTGAGTAGCTGCTTGGAACCTGTGCCTAGGCCGTACTGCAGCCCGATCGCTAGGTCATAGCTACTGGCCCCAGTCGTGCTGTCATGCTTGCCGACGTGGATGGACGTCGTCGTGTCAGGGATCTTCTTGCCGACAGTCTCGAAGGCGTCCGTCGAGCCGACCTCAAAGTCTATGCCATAGAAGGGGAAGTATTCTGTGGAAGGCGCACCGGGGCCGAGGGACCGAATGCCTTCTCATGGGTTAGAGCATCCTTTTCACTGTGGGTGGAGGGTCAAACCTGGCTTGGCCAAAATCGCATGCATTGCTTGCATCACGGAGTGCTATGATTTTGTTAGATACCGTCCTAAGATAACTAAAGAAAACATTACCTTTCTCGACGCACTCTCTGCACTGAAAAGGTCTATTATCGGTTAAATAAATCGTGGAGTTCGATGCAGAGTCTTCCTTACGAGACCAGTCGCGCGCATCTTTGGGTGGTGCGGTGCCGCCACTGGAGGTGCTTTGATATTCCATTTTGGATGATACAACGAATGATGGTTTGACGTGCCTAATGATTGAAATGATGAGGTCGTAAGGTCAGCCATATCAATCGGACCACGTAAATTAAAGACATGGTAACCGCCCTTAACGTGGTAGAGAAAGTACTGCACGATGTGCAAAGTAAGGGGTCTTCAATGTGACCTGTATGCTATTTTAATAACCTCGATCAAACACCTTTGCTCGGTCGCTGCTGCAAGGACGGGCCGCTTGGGTGGCGCCCCAGGACAGGGTTATTGCGCCATCTGCGTCATCCTCTTAAGGTTGGTTCCGGGCCCGGCACGGGTCGCGGCCGATCCCGGCCCAATTGACCCACCCTGCCCCCCCATACACCTGGCCACGCAGACTGTACTGAACGATAAATTGTAAAACTAGGTACCTTTTGTATGGTACGCTCATACAAAAGGTACAAATACGATAAATCCATTTTTCTAGACCCTTAAAATAAGGAAAGGAGAAATAGGTAGACTAATATATAATACACGTGTGGTCAAACTACTACACTACTAAGATCAATTCTAAATATTAGTGAGAAGTGTGAGAAGCATATAAAAAAAGCGCCGTATATACAACGATGTAGAAATTTAGTTAACTAGTTAACTAACTATTATTATTTCAAGTACCAATATTTGTTTTTAATACCAAATAAACCAAAGCACTCTAAAATAATATTTACCGACCTATTATTCCCCAGCCCTTATAGGGGGTTGAAAAAAGTAAACATTGTGGTTTGTATGGGTTGTGCCTTTTGTGTGGTATGCCAATACAAAAGGTACCTAATTTTACGATTTATCGCTCAGTACAGTATGTGTTTTGGGCGCTTGGCACGATTACCGTGAAATATTTGTTGAATCCGGGTATTTGTAGAAGCTAGGTGATTTGTAGTAGGTATACTGTGTAATATTTCTGGTTTAAATAAAAATTTATACTCTAAAAAGCTCAGTACAGTAAACCCCCGTTTTAACAAATCAATCGATTCACGGCGAAAAACTCGCTGAGTCCAGGGATTCGCAAAAGCCAGATCTAATATTAAATACAAATATAATGTGTAGTATTTCTGGTTTAAATACAAGTTTATACGTTAAAAAGGTGCCTAATACCATTCTGCTTCCTTGATTTCCTCACTTCTACTAACCCCCAGGTCTATTAAGCACACTAATCAACCTTCGTAGAGTCACCTTCTGAGAGTTTAGGTTCGATCAGGGAGGCATTGAATTGGTCAAAAAATATTTGTATATGACGTGACATGGTCTCAATATAGCGAATTTTGTATGGGAGAAACAGCCAATTAAGGAACTTCCCAGTAACGAGAAAGGTCGATATTACTGTGGGTTGGATCAAATGAAGCACCAGTTTTAATTGGTTAAACCCAGGTATTCGCTCTATGCACGTTCGTTATAACGGGGGTACGTATACTGTGGTCATGCATTCGGAATCGACCTCAGACATGAATATACTGTACGCATAATGCAGACGGAATGCGATACGGCCACGGGGGCGACGACACCTGCACTCTTGCCTTCGGGATACCTCACCTCGGTGGGATTTGAGGCATCCCATCACGCTGCGGAAAGAGGCAACTCCATTGACGACAAACAGGTTTCCGACCCTCAACAGGGATAGAAATGGAACGCTTGTGCAACCCCATTCTCATGCATGCCAGCTCCAGCCCTTTCGTGGTACGTAAGCTGTTTTGGATATGTCTGCTGTTTGATGAGATGAGTCGGTGTATGCTCGTCCGATGCTATCATCGAGGCTGACGCAGTAGCATCAAGACTGAAAAGTTGCGTAGCTCATCCAAGGACGTATAAATCCAGCCGAACCAACCGGCCTGTTCTAGTCCAAGATAAGGATTATCTCCATAAGATTACTGTAACAAATTGATCGTCTATTTCTTACTTCTTTTTTTCTTTTTTTTCCCTTGAAAAAGTATCCACAATGGGCTATCCTGTAGTTCCCGCCAACCGTGCGGTCATCCGCACCATGAACCCCAATTACATCGGGTTCGATTACATCGGCTGGTACGTTGGTAATGCCCGGCAGACGGTGTCCTACTTCGTCAACAACTACGGGTTCTCGGTGCTGGCATACCGCGGACCTGAGACCGGTTCGTTCGCAACGACGGCCTACGTTGTCGGCAATGGGGCAGCGCGGTTCGTGTTCACAGCGCCGCTCGGCTCTCCCGACAGCTCGTGGGACACAAGGGCCAGCGAAGAGGAGCGCACATTCTGCTCTGACCTGCACGCCCACCTGACCAAGCATGGTGACGGCATCAAGGACATCGCGTTCCAGGTGGACGAGGTGCGCAGCGTGTGGGCGCACGCGGTCGAGAACGGCGCAGAGTCCATCCGGGAACCGGAGGTGATCAAGAGCGACGAGGGTGAGGTGCTCATCGCTGCCATACGCACGTTCGGCGATACTATTCATACGCTGATCAACCGGTCCGCATATGGGGGACAATTTCTGCCCGGGTTCAAGACCGTCGAGAATACCCACAATATTCAGAAGCACCTGCCGAAGATCGATATAGTTGAGATCGATCACTGTGTCGGCAATCAGCCATGGGACGGGCTAGATGGGATCGTCAAGTACTACGAGGAAGCGCTCAACTTCCACCGGTTTTGGACTGTCGACGACAAGGAAATGTGCACTGAGTTCTCAGCTATGCGTTCAGTGGTGGTTTCGTCGCCGAACGAGGTGATCAAGATGCCGATGAACGAGCCGACGGTTGGAAAGAAGAAGTCCCAAATTGAAGAGTATGTCTTTCCCATCCTAGTCTACGTCCTTTCCTCCATCTACCATTCATACTGCCATCCAGGATGTCAGCTAACAATTACAGATTCTGCGACTACTACAATGGCGCAGGTTGCCAGCATATCGCATTCCGCACCAACAACATTATCGAAGCGGTCGACAGCCTGCAGAAGCGTGGCGTGGACTTCCTCTCGGTGCCGGACACGTACTACGTGGATGTGCGGAAGCGGCTACAGCGGATGGGCACAAAAGTGGCCGAGGACATCGACACGCTGCAGCAGTATAACATTCTCATTGATTTCGATGAGGGCGGTTATCTGCTCCAGATCTTCACCAAGCATGTCGGCGACCGGCCAACCGTTTTCCTGGAGATCATCCAACGTGAGAATTTCGACGGGTTCGGCGCTGGCAACTTCAAGAGCCTGTTTGAGGCATTTGAGCGCGAGCAGGCACTACGGGGGAATTTATAACTCTCCGAGGTGGATAGGGACTAGAATTTTAATTGAGCTTTTAGGGTGGTGGACGGCGTGCTCCGGTTTCTTTGATATTGCGTGGTGCGAGATAATCACGAATCTGTGAGTGGATTAGACTGGTAAAAAGGACATCATGTATTCTAGATAATATTCCATGTCGTAATCTGACCGGTTTTGTGATAGGCAATATCTGGCTTATAGAATCTATTAAACTTGTAGAATGATAGGTGTGCGGTAGTGATAGACTGAACGCTGACTCTTCTATGTAGACCCCATTATACATGTTCTGGCAATAGATCACGCACCCCCTACTAAGCAACATGTTCGCGACTGAGATACCGAGTTGCTCTGCGTCGTCATCGGACTGCACGGTGCTCACATCTTCAGAAGATATCTCTGACGTTCCTTCTATATGGATAACGGTAGCTCTCAGGCGAAGGGTGCCGCTATCAAGGGCTGTGTCTTCCAGATCGTTCTCTTTCATAGGCTCAAAGGAAGACCAAACGCCAATTGATGACGAACATCCTCCTTGAAGGCTTCGAAGCATCGCCCTCTCTGCCATGCCGCGCCATCTTGACGGCTTATGGTCGACATGTTGGACAAGCTGCAGGATGTCTTGACGATCTGCGCCGAGCTCGATACCGAGTGCGCCTTGCCCAACCGCATAAGGGAACACGGTAGGTTCAAGTCGTTGCGTGATTCGATGGCCGAGTCCTAGGCGTAGTAGGCCTGCGGTCGCCAACAGAATGCACGAAAATGGCGAATCAGGTGCGTCAAGCTTAGAAAGGCGGGTATCTCTGATATATCCTTATTAGATCGGGTCTATTATATGGAAATAAATCAATCAATACTTACAAATTCCCGCGACATTCTAGTATTTCTAAATGAGGCCAGTTTCGTCGAACTAGAGCTCTTCTCCTTGAAGAGCTCGATCCAACTACGGAGCCAGGTGGTAATTGGTCGATAGATTTGAAAACGGAGTCGGACCTCATTACAACGGCATCTGAACAGTCCTCACGCTCAGGGATAGCTCCAAGGAGAAAGTTTGGTGGCAATGTTGTCGGCATGTCCTTCAAACAATGGACAAGAAATTGGACCTTGCCATCTGCCAGGTCCTTTTCAAGACCATTGGTCCATAGGCTTTTGCCAACGTCAGATCCACCTGTCTGCTTAGAGAGGAGGACAAAGGGCGTCTGCTTATCTGCATCGCCAACGACACTGCTTGTGGCAATTTCAAATGTCGGGGAGGGGTCGACCTTTTGTTTCAACTCCGATATGATGGTCCAAGTTTGGGTGAGTGCGAGCTCCGATTTACGGCAGCCAACAACGACTTCAGAGGAATCACGGGATGGGATTTCTTCAGTCTCACACTGCGGCTGAGAGCCGTTCGAGTTAAGGTTCATGGTAACGAGATACGACTTGTTGCTTCTTCAAGTTGGAAATTGCGACATTTGTGTTTTAATATCGAGGTACACGTGACGTGAGACATCCCTGCCACTTGTCCTAATCGTTTCGCTTAGCGCAAAAAAAGGAAAACATTATAGGTGAATTGAGTCCATTGGTGTCTGCAAATTCAACCACATTAATTTGTGGAGGGAACGAGTGCAGGTCAACTGGGCTGCTTTGCGGTGCTGGCTCTGAGGGAGAAACGTCTTGTGCTTGACAGGCAATTTCCGTAAAGTCCTGCTTTTTGTTCTATCTTTGAGTAAAATAAGCATCAATACATCTATGGATGATTTAAGTTGTACCTGAGGCCTCCTCCTCCCCTTTCATGGTCCAGTTCGTTGATGAGCTCAATTGCACGCGAGTCGAACTTTTGGAAGGGTGTGTTGTTCTCCCACCATATTCCAAGACGAGGGAATATTTTCTTGTGGTCCAAATATGCCAGGCCAGTGACGCAGATTGTGACCGCAACAAGGACAAACAGTGGCTTCGCTATAGAGTAGATGTTTTGAGATGCTGGCGCTCGCCTTGTCACGTCTGTTCTGGGTCTGTCGCGATGCCGAGGGCTATTATGTTATTGAAAAGACAACATGACGATTCTAGTCCTCTCTGGCTGGTCGCGTCTAGGAATGGGCTATTGTCAAGGAGACATTTCTGGTGAAGAAGTGAGTCGAGAAAATGCTCGGTCGATGATGACATTGTGTAGCCAGCTTGTGAAAGAAACAAGTCAAAATGCAGAACTAATGAGACAAAATGGGCGAGAACCCTCTCATAATATCCCGTTTTAATTTTGACCTCCCACCAGCCCTCTTGGCCTCTAATATTGGATGCGACTTGGTTGCAGGATGTTGTAGCGTGCGATGGGGTCGCTAGGAAGAGCATTGGCTGTGGTGGGCTTGTTGGTAGTAGTGACCGCGTTAGCTGACTTGGCGTTAGCGGGGTTCCGGAAGAGCTATGTGGCCGGTAAGGATGTCGAAAAGATGGGGGTCTCGAATTGTCGAAAGTGCACTTGAGTGCGGTAGACCACGATGCGAAGTTGGATTCGCCGGTAAGGGTGGGAACGAGATTTGAGAGCTTTGGCTCCGCGAAGCTGGTTGCTAAAAACAATTTAAGAAGTACGTCGAAGGAGAGGTACTGACCGCGTGGCTAGCGGATTGTGAGGCGTGTGCGTCGCAGGAGAGGCACTTATTATTGTTGGGATGTGCGACGAATAGAGAGGAACTTAGCCGCGTGGTTAGCAGATAGAGGGGTGTGCGTTGAATGGAGACAGGCACTTGTTATTGTGAGGTATGCTTCGAATGGAGAGGTATTCATTGCTGTGGGATGAGAACCCTATACGAGAAAAGCACTCGGTTTGGGTATGTTGAAATTGTTTGTTTTGATGGAGGTGACGCCGTTTGTAGGTGTTTGTGGGGGTGACCTAGCCGGTGATATCGATGTCGATGGTGACAATGGTGACAATGGTGACAATGATGACAATGGCGTCGATGGAAGGGCCGATGGAGGATGACGATGATGATGATAGTTGAATAGAGCACCCGAGGGCTCATAACCTGCTAGGAGAGGTCTACGTGGTGGACGTCGAAGTGCATGGTGCAATGTGAGGTTGATGAAGAGTTGAGAGTTACAGAGAGACTAAGAAATTTGAGACCATTACTTCTCCCATTACTACTTGCTGCTGGTTATGATTGCCTGATATGTCCTGTGATTCCCATTACTGCTCCCACGCTTTTCATCATCACCAACTCAAATTCCAACATTATCTATCACCTTACTTGAACAACATACAATCATGAATCTCTCGGGGCCATATGACCCGACTGCTTTCCATGGCATCTCATCCCTTCATGACGCCAACAAGCACTTTCAAAGCAAGAATGGCCTTTCATTGGTGGAGACGAAGTTGAAGTCTCTTATTCTGCAACATGGGGTTTCGAATCTGTTTGGAGTGGCACTTGTCCATCGTCATTTCGACCTGGAAGAGGGAACAATCCTCGTGGAGAAAGACATGGTCACAGCCCCTTGGAAATATGATGACTCTTTTACAAAGCATGGTGGGAGGATTGTCCCCATCTCTTGGTTCTTGAAGGAGGGCAGACCTTACCCTTATGAGTTCGGTTTCTTCCCTTATTCCAAGACCGATCCTCCAAAACTCAAACAGCATGCGTCTTTTGTTGAAGCATTCTTTGACACTGTCAATCTTCATGGGCTGGATAATTTCGTCGGTCTGCGTCGTCTGTCTGGACATGAATCCACGGGAATGCTGGAGTGCACTGAGGGCAAAGTGAATATCATGTTTTCAAGCAACGAGGTTCGTTCATTTATATCTATCTGCCTTGGTATATCACAGATCTCATAAAACAGATACCCGCCGAACTTCTTCAAAATGGAACTGAGACAATGTGGTTTTTTGATGGTCAACCACCGTACCGCATGTATCGATGTGCCTGTACGGACACGAGCATTTCGCCGAACCCGAACCACAATCATATTAACCAGCCGTGAAACACGCTAACGGAAGCAACCCTACTGGTAAGTCAAATAATCCTTTGACCAGGGTCTCTTCTGTACTCATTGTGAACTAGGTCGCTTGCTTTTTTGTTTCAAACCAAAAGGCACTGAGATTTTTGAGCTGTCACTCCTTACGTCTCACTCATCATTTTTCTTTCAGTCAATCACTTTGTTGTCAATAGCTCCGGTCCTTTTCGCTTGAATCAATGCCCTAGTCTTGCTGCTTGCAATTAGTCGTGTCCATCATTCGTAGTTCAGGAATAGGAAACATGTCACAGCAGTAGGATTACTTTTTCCTAAAATCGCGGAGCCAATGTAGATAAGGGAATAAGAGGGAGAAATCCAGGAGAGGGAAGATGATTTGGACTTGTACTAAATAGCTATACCTACCTAGGTACCTAGGTATGTTAGCAAACCAAAGTTGGAATTATTTTAGTTAAACAGTGTGGTGATTTATATAAGCCATATTTAAGGCACCCGCTCCCACTGCTGCTCAGGTACCTTATTCTTTCACCTCCCCCTCCCCTCCCCCTGTCATTTCACTTTTTCACCTCCCTCTCTCCCTGTTATTTCACATTCTCACCTCCCTCTCTCCCTGTCATTTCACATCTTCAAACACAACGGTCACTGTCATTTTCCAGATCCAATATGGCAGGTTCGCCTGACCTGCTGTCCGAAGCTAGCCGCCTTCGCCTGGGAGTCCCATGCTCACTTGCTGACGAACCTCCTTGCCACGGTGGCTCACACCACGTATTCCAAGTTGTCTTTGAAGACTCCGTACGATGGGCTGCCCGAGTCAATACCGATTCCAATAATTGGAAAAACGAACTGCGAGCCGTTGAACAATTTCAGCATATCAAACAGCAACGCCCAGAGATCAAAGCGCCAACCCTTTTTGTGGAAGCAGAACACCCTGTGCTGTACTCTGAATGGGTCAGTGGCAAGCCGCTAGCGATCTGGAATTTTCAAATCCCTCAGGTTAAACGTCAAAGGCTTCTGGATGACCTCGCAAAATTTCTGTTGCAACTATGGACTACTCCTGTTCCTTCCGCCCTTGCTACAGAGAAAAATTGTCTGTACTCAGACTGGCTCACGGAAAGCCTGGACCGAGGTCTTCGACGAACTCTTAATGGCACTGCTAGATGGGGCAATGCTATTGACTATCTGATCATGCGATCGATGATCCCAGATTATGCTGCTGAGTTTGATAAATACACCGGCATCGGCTTTTCTCATGGGGATCTGAATGCGTGCAATATCATGAAAAGCGACGACTTTCATTTGACAGGGTATGCATAAAACGTCGCCTCCCTAATGTATAACCTCGTTCTAACAGACGGAATCAAAAATAGGGTCATTGACTGGGATTGGATGTATGTGGCACCGCTGCCAGCCATTATTCACCACCCATGGTTCATAGCCGACATTCCTGGATGGCATAATGGTGGTGTGGCAGAAGGCGAAAGCTTCACAGAAGACCGTCTTTACCTTGAGGATTCTATCAAGAAGAAGGAGCTTCCACAGCACCCTCCACTTCTGGTGTCAACATTGCTGAATGACTCTGGAAGGAGACTGTTTTTCCAATCGGCCTTCCACTTCAAGGACATCCATGAGAGTTTTGTCAAGGCGCACTGTCCACGGACAGAAAAGAACATCAGGGCTGCGATGTCAGAGTTGGATACCGTACTTCGTTTGTATCCTGAGTTGGGAGATACAGAGGATGCACAGAAAGTCAAGAACCTACTAGAGAGAAACGGCGAAAAATGACGTCGGTGAAAGGGAGACCCGGTCCTCACTGGGACTTGGAAATGCTTCTGGGTGTTTTGCTCGCCAGGTCACCAGTGGGTAGGGGTGGGCTGGTCAGACGGCTATGTAAAATTCCCTGGTAACCTTGGAACAACCACTCTATCAGTAATAACTAATGAATTTTAACACCTTTTTTTGACCTACAACAGTCTACCCTATAAAGATTCACCCCTAAACTCACTTTAGAAGTACCTATACCTATATAGTGAATCCTATATTATATGTATTATGATGGAAGGCTTCTTCCGTCTAAGAAGGGGGCAAGATCCGATTGTTATATACGATAATACTCCTAGGCATAGAACTGGATAACTGAAGGGTTATTTGCAAGAATACTATATAAAATACTACGCTAATTGTGCACTAGTAGAATTGAGTAGAGGTGGGTGAATCTTTATACGGTAGGCTGTTGTAGTAAGCTTCTTACTAGGTCATACTTAATGGTTTTTAATCTAAAAGCTACTAGTAATAACTTATAAACTAGTAGTAACTTAATAAACCCGGTTATTACTTGTCACGATATACCCACCCTATCATGACTCATGAGGCTATTCGCAGATTGGTGCCTTAGGCCTCTATGCCCACTAGACGGACCACGTCACGTGCGACACTTTCGCCAATCCTCCGAGATCGCTGAGAGTGGAGTCAAAGTCTTAAATAGGCATTGACCAATGGTAATGGATGTACGTAATTGGATTTGGGGGTCAGTTGGGGTAACTCTCTTCTTCGGTCAAAAGAGTCAATCATTGACGATCTACGCAGTTGAGTGGTTTTAACGTTATACCGTTTTTATTTGACGTGGATTCCGACTGACAAGATTATTTTCTTGACCATTTCCCCAAACAGCCCACATTATTATCGTGGCTCACCCGAGACGGTGAATGAATTGACGAATTAATGTCTTGATCCGATCTCAATTGACCTCGTTGGATTTATCGATCATTGAAATTACGACCACAATCGCAAGTCACGGGTCAAACGATACCAACCACGCGACGACAATAGGAAATCACCACATCACCATGCTCTCTACCGGCCTGAACCCTCACCTCAGCGCAGGAAACACCAAAATGGGCACTACCCCAGCGCTGGACGCAGCCAAAGCCGAAGAAGCAACCCAAGAGTCGCGCGTCCTAATCATCATGACCGGCGGTACAATCTGCATGCAGCCCTCACCAGCTGGCTTCATCCCCGCGCGGGGGTTCCAAGAAAAATGTATGGCGCCAGTCCCCACCTTCAACGACGGCTCGGACAGCGCAACAATGGACGTGGTCGCCAACGCCGCGCACGAAATAAAAGAACATGCAAGCCTACGCACACCGATGACAGCCTATGGACGACAGGTGCGGTACACAGTTTTCGAGTTTGAAGAACTGCTCGACAGCAGCTCGATTGACGCAAAGGGCTGGGCTCAAATCGCCGAGGCGATCGAGCGGAATTACACCCTCTTTGATGGGTTCGTTGTCCTACATGGAACGGACAGTCTGGCGTACACGTGCTCGGCGCTCAGCTTTATGCTGCAGAATCTCGGCAAGCCGGTTGTTCTTACTGGGTCGCAGGCGCCTATGCTTGAGCTCCAAAATGACGCTACGGATAACCTGCTCGGGTCGTTGGTTGTTGCGGGCCATTTTATGATTCCCGAGGTGTGTTTGTACTTTAATAATCGACTGTTCCGCGGGAATCGGACGACGAAGGTTGCGGCGAGTGATTTTGCCGCGTTCGATGCGCCGAATTGTGCTCCCTTGGCGATTACGACTTCTATGCGCACTAATGTTAATTGGGATACGGTACATCGACCGACGAGCTTGGAGCCGTTTAGTATCCAGACGAATCTGGATACTACCCATGTTGCTTGTCTGCGTATCTTCCCTGGTATCAAACCGGAGATGGTGGATGCGGTACTGAAGCTGGATGGCTTACGCGGATTGATTCTTGAGACTTTTGGCGCAGGCAATGCGCCGTCTGGTCAGGATAATGCCATGATCAACGTCTTGGCCAGCGCTATCCAGCGGGGTATTGTTATTGTAAACATCACGCAATGTGAGTTTAGCCACGGCTTGGCATACCGATAAAGGGTATCTGATTGACATATCTTCTAGGCCTCACGGGCAGCGTTAGTCCAGTCTATGCCACAGGCATGAGTCTCTCCCGAGCAGGTGTCGTAGCCGGTCTCGACATGACAACCGAGGGAGCATTGACGAAGCTGGCCTATCTCCTCGCTCTGCCGGAATCCACCCCGGAATCCATCGCCAAACGCATGTCAGTATCTATCCGAGGCGAACTCACCGAGTCATCCCTACCTATCTTCCGACACCCCGACGGCACACTTCCCGAACGCATCCAGACACTCACCTCGATGGGGTATGCCATCGCCGTGGGCGATCTGGAGAAGGTCCAAGCCATCACCAAGACCGAGCACCACTGGCTCTTGAACGATGCCGATTATTCCGGCAACACGCCCATCGTAAGCATCATCCCACCTCACTCACCCGCCCGCTTATCACCAATCCCTTATCTCTTTCATATCCTTATCTCGAACACACCACTAACCCAACACAGCACCTAGCAGCAACATCCCCGGCAATCGAAATCCTCCACTTCCTCCTATCTCAAGGCGGCTCCGTGCACCTCCGCAATCGCACCGGCCGCACCCCGCTCTTCCTAGCCGCGAACGCGGGTCTCTCCGAACACACGCTCCTCCTCCGCAAATCCGGCGCCCATCTGCATTCAGATGAGCGACCAGCCGCTGAACTCCTGGCACGTCATCGCCCCTTCGTTTGGGGTATGGCTGGAGTTGGGCCGAAAGAGATAAGCCAGCGGGAGATGGAGGAGTGGGAACAGGTTGGTGATAAGAACCGAATAATTCCTGGGTCTGCGCCTTCTTAGACTGGGGTCTCCAATTATCGTCATGGGTATCGTATCGGGTTTGATTTAGGATTAGGCTCAGTCGGGGATTGGGCCGGGCGGCGTTGTGTGTGTGTGTCGTATGCTTCCTTGCTTTATGTAGGATGGGGGTTTTTGTTTACCTATAGCTTGGTGCGA